TTTACACTTATGGACTACGTGGACTCTTGTGAATTACGCAGTGACTTTACATGTAAGATGTGAAGTGAAATCGACGTCTTTGACGTGAAATGTGAAATTGAGGACATTCCTTATCATTACATAAGATTTTTTGTGAGAATTGTAATTTGTATTGTTGGAAAGCAAAGCATATGTAATATATTTTGGATAGAAGAAAAAAGTATATGCAACTTTTACATGCGTAACCATTAGCTAATGAAGGAAAATTCACTCTGCTAGTGTGTTTATCCGTATCGCATGTGTCATGTTTACTTGCCTTGTTACTTGACAAAGCATGCAGTAAAATTAAAGCTTCATTTTTTACCGTACATTTGCTTTCATTAGCAACTGTAATTCCCAAAAATGATGTGAATGCAAAAACACTGTCCTTAATTAATGATGAATTGTGTTGATAACATCGAAAACAAATTGTCACACATTTCAGACATATTGATATGGGATATTGGATTTCGCTATAGCAGGACTTATGTAGATAGGACTGATGTACAGTTAACTACTTCTTCCGATGTATTCCAAATCAAATTAGACAGCATTTAAAAATTTGTAAATAGTTTACCTCCTGCCTGGCTGTCAAGGCCGATTATTAAACACGCTCTGATTTTGGCCCACACAAGAGATTTATAAAGTGAAAAAATACTTTTTTGATAAAAGAAAACCGTACTGGGTTAGTCTGACTTGTAATTTTAAAGAAATCTGCAGGGCATTTGAAGTTCCCACGGTACCCTAAGAAATTTAATAAATCACTTCCAAAAAACACATGCAGTCGCTATGCATCAATGAAGACGAAAACATGAAAACCCTAGTGCCAGTCTACAAAATATAATGAATTAAAGCTTGTAACATGGAAGCTTTTTTTTATAAATACTGGTAAGACTGGTAAATGAAAAAAAGAATTTCATTCAGCCATTTTCCCTGTTATTATAGAAAAAAAAAGCGGCAAACTGATTATACATGAAACTGACCTGTGATTCGCGCCGTTTTAGCGTCTTTTTCGTGAAAATATATTGCCTGAAGGATGGAAAATTTTTGGCGACTAAAATAGTTGTGCTGGTGACTAAACCTGTACACTTAGGGGCCAGCTGGCCCCAATGTTTTTTCTTGAAATTCAAGCCCTGTAGTCCAGCGAGGAGCTTCAATTTCTTGCGCAGAAAAAAATATCTACCCAGTCAAGTCAATGACAGTTCTGCCGGGCAAAAATATTTTTAAAAATGAAAAGTATAACTGATAGCTACCTCTTTTTGTTCCTTGCAATGCCCTGTTCGCTTGCAATATGTGCCTTTACAAGGGCCTTCCGTTGAAAAATTGTCGGAAAGCATTTTTCTTCAATGACCTCCTTCTTGTGTTTCCAGTCACAAGCCCAAATCAGTATTGAGTTTTGAAACAGTCATCTGTGAAATGCTCGTTGCACACACACACATTTTCGAGTTTTTTTGGCATGAATCTCTAATCCCAACGTAGCTGTTCGAACCACTTCTTTAGCAAATTTTTGTTCTTTTTAGGCAAGTTAAGGAAAGTCACTCCTCTTTCGCTATCTTTTTCAGTTCTGGTTTTACAGCCCGGGCCAAATTTTTTAGCTCACAACTGAATTTAGAACAGAAAAGAAGACCTTTAGCCTTTGAGCTTGGCAGCTCCCGGTGTCAAACTTTTCACTTCTTTTTCATTGGGATTGCATCCACTTCAGAAGCTAAAACAACAGTGAGTAACTCAAATCAATGTGAACTTTTTATTGGTGATGGAAAAAAATACACAGTTTTGGAGTGACCTACTCCTTTAAAATAAGTGTGATAACCTTGAACACTAGCCTCAATAAAGGCTTCATACTCATCTTCTATTGTTGCATTATTTTAGTTTCTGCAAGGCATTCTTCATTTTACTTGGGAGACCACTGGCTTGTGAACGGTTATGATTTTGTTTTCGCACATTCCCGCATTCCCTCTTGCATTTGTTATACTCGCAAAATGAATCAAATTCTATTTGATTGTGGTTTCAAACAAAAGGTTGAATTGAGAAGTGAAGACTTGTACGACATAACAGCAACACTGCCAAAAGCTGTCAAGCTGAAGTATGATTCTCTTAGATGTGGTATTTGCCGTCAATCCTTCTTTGGAAAACAATATCTAGATCAGAACACATAATATTCATCTGAATGCAGCACAGAAGACAACATTCAAGAACTCACTGATGACACCACCAGAAATCATACATACGGCAGAGTTCAAGAAGCAAACTCTCTAAGGAAAGCCATTCAATCCAAATGGAGGAGGAGCAATGCTGTTCTGGACAGCAAGTATGGACAATGGCCGCCGAAACATAGATATAAATGTAGATCATGTCCCTCTACTGTTTGTTGTTGAACAGGACAAGTTATATGATTTTTTAGGGACCAAACAGGTTTGGGTTTCCAAACCAGGCTCTGGTCTAGATGGAAGACAGGCATAAGAGCAGAAGGCAAACAGACTCTCAAGCTACAACCTTGGTCACAAGGGTTGGAAAAATCATTCTATACACATTTTGCCCCTCCCCACCCCTGTGCAACGTCCACAAAACACTTTCATGCAACACAAGTTTTTATTTTACCATTTTCCAACATTGAAAGGGTGAATGGGGGTGCCGCCACTTATTCTGTAGGTATTACTGTTATGATTTCATGTTTTTTGCATTTTCCAACACAATTTGTCCATGACTGTAGCTACAGTATTCAGAGGTAAAGGGAATTTGACAACAGAGGAGAGAGAGAAGTATGACAAAGACATTGATGTCTATTTCCAGTCGTATGCATGGATGGATTCAGAGGTCAATATCAAGTGGGCTGAAACCACCTTGAGAAATGGCCTGGAGGATGACCCTGCAGAAGAAGTACTTTTTGCAGACAATGTAAGTTTTCAGCAAGCCCAAGACTTCCATGCAACTTGCAGAGATTTGAACACTGTTGTCTATATGCTGCCAGAAAACCATACACACAAAGTGCAGCCGTGATTAGATGCTAGTTATGACAAGATGATAAAGCAGAATATAGGGGAGCAGATGGAGAAGTGGCTGTAGAAAGATGAAAACCTTGAAATGTGGCATGATAGCATTACTGCTAAAACAAGACAAGTCTTAATGACTAAATGGGCTGGACAAGCATGAAGGGACATGCATTCCGATGTGGACTTTGTAAAGAAACTCTTTGAAAAAACTGGGTGTCCCAAGGGCTTGACCCCAGAGACTCTATAGCATATTAATTCTATTAATTCTATTAATTCTTTCTATTAATTCGTCAATACCTTTATTTTTTCAATCATTTTAATACAAACTAAATTCTTGAATTTTTATTTTTTATCTTTATTTATTCTTTTTGCCATTCATTTATTTATTATTTCTTTTAATTTCAACTTACGTGATGTACATAATTTACATAGCCCAAAATGTTTTGTTCTGTATGTTATTGTTTAGCAAACAAAGTAAGCATTTTTGTTGTTGAAAATACAAGTGCTAAACCATGATGTATTTATTTAGTAGTACAATATTTCCACCAATGGTTACACTACGACAACCTCTGAAAAATAAGAACCCATTGAGAACCTAATCAGCCTGAATTGTGAAAAACTACTCTAACCTATAAGAACCTGTTCTGACCTTGAAAATTCTAGGTTCTTATATGCAGGTTTTTACCATAACGCAGCTTATCTGTGAATATCAACAAAAGGATACTAAGAATCAACTTTCTAACTTGCTCCATCTTGGAAGGTGTAATCAATGGTTCCTTAGCAACAATGTCATCAAGCAAGATATCCACATCAGTTCTAGAAACAAACATCCATTATGAGTATTGCTGTCATGTCATACCGTACATATTAAGTTTGTATCACATTAGAACTTTCCTTCCCAGAGTTCGTTTTCTTTAGAAACATTAAATTTTTTACATGTAAAGACTGATTGCCAATGACTGGAACTTCCGCTTTCCTAATGACATCATTAAACAAATTTAGAGGTGGGGTCTGGTGGTTGTCATGGGTATCCTATGTGCAAATCTTAGATTGCTTGTGGTTTGACGATCCTTTAAAGGCACCATTCACCAAGTTCATCTATTGTTGATGAGATTAAATGTGGCTAAATGTAATTTAGGCTAAGTTAAATGCAAGACAATATTGCTGGCCTGCAGTCTCCCACAGGGTAAGCGTGCAGGGTGGGTTGGTGGTTTGTCAGGGGCTTCTTGTAGCTTACAGCTCTGCTTTGGATATCAGCTCATTCCCCATTTTTTTGCTGTCAGACTTTTCTCATGGTAAGAATGACGCTTGTAGTAACTATCTTTGTTTCCACTCTTTGTGTGATGATGCCTGGTAGTTGCCCCTCACAGGGTTGTCATGGATACCCTATGCACCCGGCTCAGATTGCTCATGGATCCACCAACCTTTTAGGCACCATTCCCCAAGATGATAGTTTTTCCAAAAAATGGGAATTGTGAAATTTAGTACAAGGAAAAATTAGTTAGGGGTGAAACGATTCATATTCCTTGCGATTCGATTCAATTTTGATTATTGCCTTTCGATTTCAATTATTTCAATTTGATTATGCAAAGTATTAATGTTTTTTAATACTTACAACATGATACACATGGTGAACAACATAAACCCTAAACCCTAAATTTGAAGATACAATGAGCATGTCGCACATGGTTTGTCTTATTTGGAAATTCTCAAGGGGTGGTAGAAGGGCAACACTTTTACCGAGCAACACAAAATGGCGCACAAACTGCAAATGCCTCTATTTGTTAATCAAAAACACACATTTTGAAGAGTTCTGGAGTCTGATCTCACGATATATAATAACTCACTACGGGCACCCTGGAAAAAATAATGCAAAAACTTGAACCAAAAATTTTCAAAACCAAACGGTCATAATTGTGATTAATCAAGAATTTGATTAATTGTTACACCACTAGTAAGAGTATTGTATTATATCATCAATATGTTATCTCCACCAATCAGTATTTTGTGTTCAAATTTTGGATGCGACATTCAGAATTCTCAATGATGTACACAAGCTCCCCTTTAACCCCCTGCTCCAAGAGAGCTTACTCATAGGCGAACAAATCACAGAACTGACTGGGACTCAATTCTTAACCTACAGTACAAAAATAGTTTCCATGATTGACTCTGGAGAGCTGATACACAACTTAGAACACAATATTGTTACTGACACCTCACAAAAGACTCAGTCACGGCTTAATGCCACATACTAAATTAGAAATGTACAATATAACATTCAAAAGCTATTACATTATAACTTACATTAAAATTCTGGTCACCAATATTACTGATCACTGAACATGTGCCATTAGAATCTTATCTCCTAATTGTTATCTAGCACAGTGAAGGTACTCACGTTGGTTTCAAATCCAGCAAATCTATAGACTTTGACTTCATGATGCCAGATTGTTCATACTCCAAAATTATCCCTGTAAAAAAGAAATGCACTGATACAATTAGACTAAAAGACACCTGAAAGTACATGTACCTTTAAGAATTTACTGCTAACATTTTGTGTCATGTTCAATAATCACTCTTGTTGAACATTTACAAGCCTTTTCAAAGTTTTTCTTATCACACTCTGTAATTTACTTCACGTATATAGCTGAGCTATCGGTAACACTTTGAAGGACGATCTTGCTATATTAAATGATCCTAGTCAGCTCCAGAGAAAATGTCTTGCTAGAGAATGGACAAAATTGTCAACAGATCATATGCTGATTTGCCAAGTACATGTAAGGTCAGCTGTCCCTTATGTGCTACTAACAGAATGATCAGAAGCTACAACAGATTACAATCAGATGTATTAAAATGTATTAAGACAGAATTCAATAGAAAATTGAAAAAATTCAACTTATAGTGGACAAAACCCTTGTACCAGAATAATTTTAAGTATATTACAGTCCTTTTTGCATTTTCTAAAAGCTAAAGATATAAATATTTGCCTGAAGTAACACCAAAAACAATTTCCCATAAGAAGTTGAGGAAATAAATTTCAAAGTTCAGGGAAATTGTCCATTTCACCAGTATTTTCAGGTGTTTCATATGAACTTCAACATTTGCTTTTGACATTTGGTGTTGTTAGAAAGGATTTCTTTTAAGAAGACATTTAAAACAGTCGCATAGAATTTTGCAATACAAGGTAAATAATGTTGGTTGCCAGCGACATACATATGTAATGTTACATGACGTATAAACTGACCATGCACAGAGGCCAAGAGTACTTTCATGCATTTATGGGTTGTCTAATGAATTAGACCATGCTCACAATTCCAATTCTTGATTCTTTTTCAAATTTCAGACTCATTTTCACTGCTTTCAGCTTGGAGATGCATATCCTGATGCATAAATGTCAAAACATATTTTTCTAGAAAGAAGTCTAACATGAGGAGAACACTCAGGTGACACTGAAAGAGAAATTCAGGTTATCAAGATAAAAGGCGGGACAATACAGGCAGTCAGTTCTGACATTTCTGTTAAAAAAAGTATACTATTCAAATATTTTCTCATGTTTTTCCTTGACAGCTAAAGCCATGGCCTATGTCCCGCACACTGAGTGACACAGAAAACACGCTGAATTGCTTCAGCCTCTATCAGAATATCCACTCTGGTTACTACTTCCTTCCATGAGAATGGGCTTCAAATTACGTATCATGAGAACGTCATAATTAGAGGCGTCTTAAACATTAACTTAGCCATCACAAAATAATAAAATGACATGTCCTGAAGGTGAGCCAGTGTGCAAAACAATGAAAGTGACAGCAGACAAAAATCCACTGCTACATCTTGATACTGTGAGGTCCATTTGTACTATCACATAATTATTATTCTCTCTTGAATCAAAATATGTAAAGTTACTTTTGAACTTTTTTAGACCAGACACTAACAACTCCCCAGGATAAAGGGCACATTCTTTCAACTCCATTTGCGACTGATGAGGGGGGTTTTCCCGAAACGGCCCAAAAAAATACTATTAAGCACTTTTTGTTAACTTAAACTAAAGCAATTCAATTCAAAGTGCTACTCAGCAACAACTTGTTTTTACATTCTTTCTTATACTTTATCATGACTTTACTTTAAACTCTCGCTCAGTTTTGGTTACTGTTTTCAAAATGTCATGTCTCACTGGGACATCACTGCAGTTAGAAATCTGTCTCATCTATATAAGAAATAGAACATTACATGGCCGCTTAGAGGGCTGCCACTATCTTTCACTCGTTCGCTGAGATATCACAAACACATGTGATCCTCTACAGTAATAAGCTGAATTAATAATGTTTTAATAGTACTGATCAATGATACGTGGGTAAATAAGCTACATGTAATTACTTCATAACTTTCAAATTTTATAGCAACATTCGGATAGTCGCTGCTTCGAAGAATCCTCACTTTCGGTACTTTTTAGGTAGCTTAGTTGATGCACAGTTTACATCACATTTTGACAGAAGAGCAGCCTGGGACATCGCATGCAATGCTTGTCCCATAAATCGTTAAATTTTTGAATTGGCATCAAATTGCACATACCTGGTGGATAATAGCGTAACAAGAATTTTTTTAAGCGCATACTACTTCCAGTTATATAGTTGTTCTTCGGCTGTCAACTTGTCATACTGTAAACAACAATACTACGATTACAAGTGTGGGTTCCAAGTTCCGAACGCACGCTATTTCACGCATACGCTCTTTGAAAAGCCGCTGAATAATCGCTGTCGGCACCACAGGCAGACCACTCTAAGCGAGGGCCTTAAGGTGGTCTTACACCTAAATTTTTTTTTGTTTTTGCAAACAACTCTGTGGAACAGTTTTGGTATCACGTTAAAGGACTTTGCACTCTGACTTCAAAAATGAGCTTTTCCAGCTCACGTGCCATGATAGTTAATGAATAACTAGCTCCTTAGTGTTAAAAAGTGGTGTTCATTATAGACACGATAACGTAATAATGAATGGTTCGAGAAGTATGGAATTAAGTTCATCCTGTCCATAAGCAAGTTGTCCAGGAGACAAACCTCAGAAAACAGTGTT